TTATACTCTAAATACTCTTTTTATCAATTATTAATACAAATATTAGAGCAAAAGAAAATTTTTGTTTTTACTTTAGAAGTCTAGTAGTATTTCTAATACTTACCTAGTAGATTATATATTTTAATAAGCATAAATGTAGAAATCTAGTTATAAGTAGTAAATGACAAGTTATAAGAGACTTTCTCTTAGTAAAATATATATATAGAAACTTGTATATACATATAAAGTATTATCTATAAATTAAAACAAAATAAGAAGAAGAAAGAAGTTATAATAGTTAAAGTATAAAACTTTAACTATAATACTAAAACTAGATTTAGTATATTTTTTAAAGTTCCTTTTAGTATTATTTTTTTGTTTTCTTCAGGTCTTTTGAATTTTTTTCTATTGAAAAAAACAAAAAATAAAAGATTTAGTAAACTCCTAATAAAGAATTAGCAAGTCTATACTACTTTCTAATTTGAAAAATCATCTGTTGATATACAACTTAGATAAGATAACAAATACATATATTACTATTATGTAGATGATCTAATTAGAATTTAATATTCAAACAAGTTTTTTAAATATTAGAAATATATATTCTTGTTTTTGTATAATTTAATATTTTTACTTTTTATTTATTTTTTTTTTTTATGTTAAAAAAAGAGACTTTTATTTTTTTTTCTTTTTATTTCTCTTTCACTTATAAGAATTTTTTAATTCGATAGTGAATTTTTCCTTTATAAATTATATTTATATAATATATAGTTGCATTTTATTATATATAACAATTTTTAAACTTTTTTTATATCTTGAGACTAGATGTTAACTACTTTTAGCTTAGTATAAATTAGATTAAAAAGAACCTAGGATTTTGATATTAGACTAGAAATTACTATTATCAATCAAATTTTAAGGAATCTGTTTATATAGATCAAGAGTTTTGAAAGAAAATAAGCTTCTGTAGCAGCTCAAACTTGAGTATCTTTGAAGTAGCTAAGTTAGTCTGAATTGAATTTAGAAGAATTTAATTTATATACTATATATTTTAAATTAGTCTTATACTTTTTATTAATTTTCCTTAATAAAATGATAGACAAGATTGCTTAAGTTATAAAAATACACTTCCAAATAATATCATTAAAATCTTCTATTAGAATTACCTCTTTAGGCCTACTCCTATCTGCAATAATCAGGCCTATTAAATATTTTTTGAACTTATATTAATATATACTAACTAATTAACTCACTAACTGCACTTACTTTTAAGCTAAATTTTTTATCTATAATTGCTAGCAAAGATCAAATGATCCTCTTATACTAAATAATTCATGAATAAATAAATCACCAAATCCAAAATTAATTTAATAAAATCTGCAAATTAGTTTTGTTAGTGATAAAAGTGTTTAATATATAAAAATAAACTAAGTATATAAAATATTGTAAAATAACTTGTCTAATTAGCCTCATCAATAATACTGTATATACAAAATCTAATACAAAATTTTTCTTTGAATGTCTACTAACCCAACCTCCCAAAATATTTCATGTCTCAAAACTTTTGCATTGAATATTCTTAAGAATAGCTTATCAGATACTATTGCAAAAGATATCAGAGTTCGAGAACTAAACCCATACTCAAAAATGTAATCAAGAGCTTTTTTTGTATGAAATTAAAAAACCATTTACCATACTCACTTGTGGCCATATATTTCACTGCAATTGTCTTGAGCATTATGTAAAAGATCTTCTGCAATGCCCAAAGTGTGCAATAGAAATCGAGCCTATTAGCAACACACCAAGTACCACTGTCTCAATGGAAATTTCATTACAAATAGTATCTGGTCAGAGCCAGAATCAATAATCTCAGAAGCAATGGCACTTTGTGTCTCTAATCCTGTATTATCGCATCTCCCATTATATCCAGCTTATGCGGATCAGATCCAAAGTGGCAAGCCTAAACCTAAAAAAAGATTATGCGAAGAAGATGGAAAAAAAGAGCCTCCAAGTCTAAAAAAATTAATCGATGAGCTATCTACTGAAAATTTAGATTCCGCAGAAAATATCATTATAACGCAATCAAGTTCAGTCTCCGCTACTGAAAATGACCCTGACCCAGTTGATTTTCTTAGTTTGTATCACAAATTTATCAACACTGAAGATAATAATAAAAAACTGGTCAAGAACTTATTAGAGCCTATTATAATTTTGGCCGGGATCTTAAAAAACGCCTTAAATATCATAAAAAAACCCACGAACAACAAGTTGCTCAGGTGCTAGTAAATGATGAAGTAAGAAGCCAACTCCCAAAAGAGATAAGTGATAATGCATTGCGCAAAAAAACAGAGCGAGCCTACTGTATAATCTTTTTGATGCTATTGGTGAGAATAAAATAGTAAGAGTTAGAACTTTTACCACATTAAGCATTTCTAAACTAAGTCAGGAAAATATCGATTATGTAATACTTCATATCAAAATGATCCTTTTTCGGGTTTACTGCGCCACATTATTGCGCCTTGTAAAACCCAGAGATCACTAAGTAATCAAGTTTTTTTACCTCAATCTGATTCCTGCTTTTAAATATTACCTGGCTTATGTATGGCACGTTTTGTACAACCTGTGCCTTTTGCACGCATAATATACAAAGGAATGTAATCCATTCACATTTATATTGTAAAACGTGAAAAAAAGTAGCGAATGGAATATATAAGCGGTGTGATGTGAGTGTGATAATTTTAAAAGAGAACCTCGAATAATTAATGTTTAATAATAAATTTTTATTTTTCCATATCGATATCGTTATAATTTTGTTCACATAGTATTCGTTAACATTCTGCATGCATAATTTATCTGTATCACCTCACAAGGCTTATTTATGCATAACCAATTTGTAAGACGGGGCACAAATAGAAACTGCCATTTATCAGAATTAGTCCCTAACCGAAGTTGGTCAATTAACTCATGCCACATATGTTCTGAATTTATTTTAGACCTAAATACACACAATGTATGCATGTACATGGGAGTATCGAGTCCCTTAATAACGGTTTTAATCTTACATGGCTCTATAACTCGTGATGCATACATTTACAACTTCTATCGTAGAAATTTTTCTATGTAGAAGAGGTGAAAAAAAAACATATAAAAGAGTAGTATCTTAAATTTTTGTTACTCGGTCGCTCTATAGTGATTATTTCCTGCTTTTTTATATTCAACTTAACATCTATCAACATGGCACATTTAGTATCTAAGATTGAAGCATTTTTATTAAACGAAAAAACATTAGACACTCTTTGTGGTGCGTCTGTTGTTTATATAACAATAGAGGATAACGCTCTACTTCCATATGACAGTATAAGAGAAATAGTTGACCAGGCAGTTAATTCGTCTTTATTGAAAATTAAAGATCTTAGACGAAGAGCAAAGGTGTTAGAAATTTACCACAGATTAGTATAAATTGAACTTTTTATTATTAAATTTAATGATGATACTATAGTAGATGTGGGCTTTAGTTTTGGTATGTCATAGCTGAAAGTCGGGGAATGCCGGCCCAGAAGATCAATATCTTCGGATGTTGAGGGTTTCTGCTCCTCTCTGACTGTGCGTGACTATCCAGCCAAAACAATGATACCCTAAATATATCTGAAAATGCACATGTGCGGGTATGGCATTAGTTTGTAAAATTTGGGATAAGGTTAACGTACCGGTACTTTATACTGTATCTACTATAGGTGGAAAGCGGATATATTAGTGTTAAAGGTCTGAAAGCATTAATGGTATTAAATATGGATAGGGAATTTACATCAGATCACGGTCGGGAAGAAATAGAAGAAAATCTTAACACGTTGAGATCTAAACTCGAGGTAAATATTAGACTGTTGAAATATTTTTTTGATTGAGAACTAAAAAATAAGATCATATGCCTAGCATCCAACAACGGAAGCGGACATAAATCTTTATGGTTCACTTAAACAAGCTTTAGCAAGTATGGACTCTTCGGATCTTACATGGCGAGATCCAGAAGCAAGCATGGTTCTAAGTGATGACTCAGAAGTTGTGAAAAACTTGGGGCATAGACAGAAAAAAATCTTTATAGAACCGCGGGAAAATATGAAATGTGTTCTCCCTGATTCGGTTGTGGCTAAGTGTGATAGGTTTGCAGAAAATTTCAATAATTCAAATATTTCAATGATTATGATGAATATTTTTCATGATAAAAAATGGAAAGAGAATGAGAACGGGTTAGTGAAAATAACAGAACGTATTCTAGGCACGCTGTAAGTAATTCATTTAATATTATCTTCGTTCGAAAAAATCAAAGAAATAGCAATTCTAATATACCTTTGTCAGTGGTGAAATATGGAATAATCCTACATTTATGACTATTACATCCCGTAGTGAGCAGAGTGAAGGGACATATGTTGCAGATGTCATAATTCCTTTGCTCCGAGCAAGTTTAAACGACCTTCCGAATGGTAGTATCTGTTTGAGTACGGCGGAACGTCAAAGTATAGCAAGCAAAGCTCGGCGGAATCTAGGAATAAGTGGAGAGCGAATGGGAAAGAAACCTGACGTTATGGGGTTGTTGAAGCAAGATGAAAAAATTATTGAACTATTGTATACCGAATCATCTCGTATTGTATGCAATAATTCAAAAAAGGCGGATGATGATGTTAAGTTATGGAGAGAAACATTGGATGGGGTTAGTTATATCAGTGCAATGTGTAGACCAGCTGGTAATCAATTTGGAATTGTAGGAATTCAGATTGCTGGTACAACTATGTATCTAAATGTTCTTGTAAAGGATCTTGCTGGGATACCAAGATATTTCCATCTAGACCATTCTGAAATCCCATTAACACCCCACAGATTGCATACTAGATCTCTAGTTCGCTTATTACTAACCTTAAGAAATATTATGATAGTGAACAAAAGCTTGTTAGTGCATGCACTAGAACAGGCTATTACGCATCCACCCAGAAATGTTAAACTGAGTCCTACTGTTTCATCACCGCGTAGAGATGAGCAGAGGCAGAAAAGATCTAAAGTTAATAGTAAAACTAGAAAATTAAAAAAGCGAAAAAGCGCATATTTCTAGAATATAGCAATATCTTGTATTTTATTTTTATTTTTATTTTTTACTTTTATTATATATATTAAAACCGGGCAACGCGGCGAGTCAGTCGCTCAATAATCCAAATACTTGCGTAACCTACGGTAGGCTTTACTGGAAAGAAGGCGTGTTAGATTTGGCGAGTTGGTTGGTTCCGTAGGCAGGTGTTTCTAATATCCAGGTAATTCTTAGATTTCTTTAACCTCAGCTATACCACACTACTTCGGGCAAGCTGGACAAATCAACTACAGTTGTACCAAGTATAGTTGTTAGGCGAAACTGTTTTACAAAAATGGTGAAAGACGAAACCTAAACCCAAAAAAGGCGAAACTGACGAA